ACAGTAAGAATTAGATTAGTTACATAAGTTGCCATGTAGATGATAAATGATTTCTACCTTCATTTGACTTAAAAATCCTCCATCTACCTATCTCCTAGCTATTAATTAACCGTATGTATCTTAGAGCTACTCATAAGTAGTACAATTTCACCACATCATCATCATCACCACAATTTCACCACATTTCACCATCAGTTGGGGAATCATTGGAAATCTGGGAGCACTGGACAGCTGTTTCGTCTTAGTATGGAGCTCCTCAGCAGTACGCACCCACGACCCAGCTAGGGATTGAACTCAGGACCACTGAACCACTGGAAACAGACCCAATGGCTGAATGATTAACGCGTTCGCCATGAAACCTGAAGGTCCTGAATTCCATTCCTAGCCAGATAGTGGGTGCGTACTGCTGAGGAGTCCCATACTAGGAGGAAACAGCCGCTGTCCAGTGCTCATAGATTTTCAATGGTTCCCCAACTGATGTCACTCCCTGATAAATACTACTTCTAAATTTAAAAAAATCCCCATTCATATGAAAACAATACTATAAATATTTACATAGATAAAATATGTTCGTAGGAGTATATAAAAAGTCAACATTGATGCATCCATTGAATGAACCATGTAAATGTCAAATATACAAGAGACAGTGAAATGTAATACACAATTATAAAAGCAGGTGTATAGAAAAAAGGCAAAATGGAAGAAACTGATCTAAACTATTACGTAATTTTGTAATTTACATTTATACATGATAGGAATAAATAGAATTTTTCTACTACTTATATATCCACATACATATGTATATATACATATAAGCATAATGTACTTAATTTTGTATAAAAACGCATAACAATACATACAATAAAAGTACAAATGAGACTATGGTATGCATCCTAATTGACTAGATTACATAAACGAAGATCTGAAGGTAAGCAAAGGTTAATGATGACACTAGGAATAGGAACATCAAGCCCAAGAAAACCAAGCAGGCTTTAGACCCGGTCGCCGGTGTATCGACCAAATATTTACACTGCGCCAGGCCCTGGAACATAGGCACGTTTACAGACGCCCGATAACAACTGTATTTCTCGACCTGAAGGCGGCATTTGACCTCGTTGATCGGGAAGTCTTATGGAAATGTCTCTCACTGAAAAGCGTGCCGAGTAAGTACATCACCTTATTGAAAGCTCTCTACTCGAACATTTGTGCGCATGTTAGAACCTATGGCGAGTTGTCCAGGGAGCTATGCTCATCAAGTGGTGTCCATCAAGGATGCCCACTGTCTCCATTCTTATTCAATTTTATCATACATATTCTTATGGAGGTCTCCCTCTCGTCATTTGACTACACAGATGTTGACCTAATCACAGGAGAATTTTCGTTAGACCTAGAATATGCAAATGACATAGTCCTGTTAGTTGAACACACTGACAAGATGCAGAGTCTTCTGAACACTTTGAGTGGAAATTTGAGAATGTTTGAGATGTGGTTTTCACCACCCAAATGTAAATTTTTGCTCCAGGACTGGTCTTCAGCGGTACCGCGGCTAACAATAGAAAGTGAAGTGGTTGAGTGTGTTGACCACTTCACTTACCTGGGAAGTAGGATCAACCCTGGTGGGTTAGTTGCCGATGAGATTTCTGCACGGATACAAAAAGGCTCGATTGGCTTTTGCCAATTTGCGCCACCTATGGCGCCGCCGTGATATCCGTCTGTCTACTAAGGGTTGAGTGTAATACACAGCAGTTCGCTCTCTTCTACTCTATGCCTGTGAAACATGGCTATTGAAAGTGGAAGATATAAGAAGGCTTCAGGTGTTTGACCACCGTTGCCTTCGTAGTATAGACTGCCATATTACATGGTGTCACTAAGTGAGTAATGCAGAAGTCAGGCTCAGGTGTAGAGTTTTAGGGAGGAGAGGTAAATCAGTTGACATGGTTGTGAAGCTTCATCCATTGAGATAGTTGGGACACGTATTATGTATGCCCAATCACCGATTGCCTTATCACTCAATGTTGGTCAAAGTAGGTTAAGGTTTGAAAACCTTCCGAGGTGACCAGACTGAAACATGGTACCAATGTATTAAGTATTTGACTGTTTGTTTGAGCCATGTGGGGTAATGCAGACTTGGTGGTTGGCTTCCGTGGGACAAGAGGAACCAGTGGCTGGAGACTGCAGGTGATATGGCTCACAACCGATGTCAGTGGTGCACATGTATATACATATTATCCTCATCTTGACGCTGTACTGGATATCACCATTTATCCATTCTTCCTTCCTCTCTTCTTGTACTTTATATTTCTCTTGACTGCATTCTCTTATCTTCATCTTTCACCTCACTACCTTTCTACTTGATGTAGTGATATGACGTGTGGCAACTCGAACCGTTAAGCAGTAATGTCTGGTCCTATGTTTATATTGACTGATTGATTAAGGAATAGGATATACATATGTAGTAGTGTTCGTCGATTAGTTAGAAGACATTACAATGATGTAATACATTTCATCTAACCCTCTCAGTTTTTGATTAAGAATCATATCTTATGATTTCTCAAGCTTATCAATCGATTACAACTCAATTAGTGACCAATCTGGTACCTTTTCAATTTCATATAAAAGCTAATAAACAGTCAGAATGAATAGCATCTAATTCACATTATTATTATTATTATTATTATTATTATTATTATTATTATTATTAGTTCCTTGGGTTCCTAGTGGAACATACGGCTTCACTAGCACGTCTCCAGTGAACTCTGTTCTCTGAGGTCTTTTCAACCTGGTTCCATGACAGCCCACAAGCTCTCATTTCTTCCTCGCACGACCTCCTCCATGTCACCCTTGCCTCGGACGTCCAACTCGTCGCTTCCTATGGAGATTCCACTCGAGCAACTGGCCTGACGCGTGATGTCCTCAGTCGGCCTTCTCAGTGCATGGCCAATCCATCTCCACTTCCTTCCAGTGCATATTTGTTGCGTGATAGGTTCTTGCTTCGTTGGTTCGTTCCCAGAGCTCATTGTTGCTTATTCTTTCTGGCAATCCACCTGATCTTCAGTAGCGAGCTAGCGTAAGCAGTTGTTGACGAATGTCTGTAGTTTATTGGAAATCCCTTTCGTGATGCGCCAAGTCTCTGAACCATACAGAAGCACTGACTTGACGTTGGTGTTGAAAATCCGGATCTTGTTCCACATGCTGCGTGCAGAAGATCTCCACACTGGTTTCAGTCTAATGAACGCCTGTCTTGCTGTCTTTCCGATTCTGACTTTGACATCCTCGTCTGTGTCTGTGCCAGCTGTAGTTGAAACAGTGCTTCGTAGATAGGTGAAGGAGGTTACTTCCTTTAAGTTTCTCCGTTGACGGTGATTGGAGTTTGTCGTTGATGGTGGTGGTGCGGTATCTTCATCACTTCCGTCTTCTCTATATTCACTTGAAGTGCCGTCTTCGCTGCCTCTTCTATCAACTTGTTAGTTTTTGCCTGTAGTAGTAGTTAAGTCCCAACTCATGTAAATTATTAGACCATGATAGTCACTGCCACCTGAATTGTTCAGACTACAAATTATTATCCAATCAGAGAAATAGGTACTAGAACTGAATGATGTTTATACATACTACTGATGTATTTAAGTAGTTGGAAACTGCATACAATAATCAGTACTGTTGCTTAGCCGAAACAGTGATATTTCGCTCCTTTAAAATCAAGCTTATCAACCTCATAATGCAATTAATGCACCATAAAGAGTGCGAATTATGTGGGCGTGGGGGATGCTAATTGAAGGGAACCAGTCTTTGCAAAAACTGTTATTACTTAGGATGAAAGCATATGTATTGATAAAGATTTTCAATCTCTAAACATAACAACACACTTAAATATATAAGGCAGTTGTTCAAAAATGCTATCCAGTTCAGCGGAAAGGAAAACTATAAGATATCTTTCAATTAAATATGCTCCTATCGAACAGCTTTAGGAGGCAAAAAGCATTCAGGTAGATATGTAGATTTGACCAGGTAGTCAGATTCGAGTGATCTAAATACCTGACGGCTATTTGACTATACTGATTTCAAGCCATTTAACCAGTAGTAAACCACGCGAAATCCAGCCCAAGCGATTTAAAGACAACTGACCCCTTAAGCTGAAACTGTACAAGTACAAACTAACGCAATATTAACTACGAGAAGTAGTCTGAGTAGTGTGAGTAGTAGTAGCAGTAGTGTGAGCAGCGGTAGTAGTAGTAGTAGTAGTAGTAGTAGTAGTAGTGTGAGTACTAGTAGTAGTAGTAGCAGTAGTAGTAATAGTGTGAGTAGTAGTATTAGTAGTGTGAGTAGTAGTAGTAGTGCTAGTAGTAGTAGTAGTAGTAGTAGTAGTAGTAGTAGTAGTAGTAGTAGTAGTAGTAGTAGTAGTAGTAGTAGTAGTAATAGTAGTAGTGTGAGTAGTAGTAGAAATAGTAGTAGTAGTGATAGTGTGAGTAGTAGAATCCTTTTTGACGCTATATTTGACTGCCAATCGGTGAAGGGGATCATAGTGATTTTCTGTTAACGTCGATTGAAGTCTTCCAAAAGCTATCAGTAAGAATTTAAGATTCTGGAAGAATTTTACAAGATAGACATACACATCAACAAGTAGAGAGACATGGAGGCATACTAACATAGGATAATTGTAAAGAAACTTTAAATGTGCAATACAAATTAAATAGCAGTGTGAAGTGTGCTTACATGCATGAATGTGTGCATACGTGCGTGCCTGGATAAACGCGTTATGGAAATTAGTACATAAATGAACCTGATAGATTTGTGTATACATACATATATATGTGTGTGTAAAAGTATTAGGTGTATCCGGCGTACTTTGACAATCATAATATGAAAAAGGAGAGTGAATATATGACTATATATCTATGTAGTTGTAAATGTGCACATTTTTTTTTCTCATCTTCTTCATGAGTGTACTAATTGATGATACTTAAGATAAAAATAGACAAAACATAATTTTAGAAAAAAATTACCGTCGGTAAGGTGGATCTACATAGAAACTTTTGTTTGGTTGTCTAGGTTAAAAAGAATACAGAGTATATGAAATAAAAGTATATCTTATCAAATAAGATGCATGAATGCATGGAAGATAAATCTAACTTGACTCATGTTATGATTGGGTGATAAATATTATCATCTCATCTATGATTAGTATTTGTCAACCACTTCGTTAAACGACATGTTGATGATGATTGAAAGTGTAGTAGTAGAAATATGTTAAGCGAGAGGGTTCGAAGCAAATACCTATTGTTCTATCACCTGGCTAACCCAGTCTCAAGTTTACCTCACTCACCTTTATTCACTAGACAGTATCAATAACACTGCTCTACTAAACCGTGAACAATAGTCTTACTAACACAAACAGAGATTGACAGAAGCTAGAAAGTACTACAGATCATTTTTGTGAATGCTATACCAGTTGACAAATACACGAATATTTCATAGAGAATTAGGTAGTAGATAGACAAACAGATAGAAATACGGTAGAAATGGGTATATATGTATCCCACTGTATTATTATTATTGTTATTATTTGTCCTTTGGGTTCCTGGTGGAACATAGGGCTTCAGTAGTACGTCTCCAGTGTACTCTCTTCTCTGCAAACTTTTGAACCTGGTTCCACGACAGCCCAGAAATTCTCATTTCTTCCTCTCACAATCACCTTCATGTCACCCTTGCCTCGGACGCCTAACTCGTCGCTTCCCATCTGGGTTCCACTCGACGACATTGCCTGGCGCGAGATGTCCACAATCGGCCTTCTCAGTGTATGTCCAATCGATTTCACTTCCTTCTGCATATTTGTTCAGCCATAGGACCTTGGTTGGTTTGTGTGACATTACACACAAGTCATCGGCAAAATCTAAATCTTCTAAGATATTTCCTCCGGCCATGCGCATTCCCCTCTTCTTGCTCCTCACAGTTGTCTGTTGCATGATCCAGTCCAGTCGACCACAATCAGGAATATGATGGGTGATAGTAGACAGCCTTGTCCGACTCCTGTCCCATCTTCTCTTCAAAGTCATAACTGAGCTTCCCATTGTGAATTACTAGGCATGTGGCGTCTTTATATTGCTGTCGAATGAAGTTGATAAAGACTACTGGCACTCCGTAGTGTTGAAGCAGCTGCCTGCCAAATTACTTGTTGGTCGACGCTGACGAATGCCTTTTCAAAGTCGATGAAGTTGAAGTAGAGGGTTGACTGCTATTCTATACTCTGTTCTATGATGATGTGTAACGTTGGGATTTGGTCCGCATATGATTTATACTTCCTGAATCCAGCCTGCCTGTTCCGGTCGTAGTTTTGAATCCAGCGCATCCTTTAGCCGCTCCAGGATGATGCGGTATAACATTTTGCTTGGGGTGGACAGGAGAGTGATTCCGTGCCAGTTCTTGCAAACACTGAGGTCTCCTTTCTTCGGCAGTTTGACAAGGTAAACCTTCTTCCAATCGATGGGCAGGTACCTTCTCTTCCTTCCAAACCTTCTGCAATAGTGGTGTGAGCATGTCCTCTGTTATCCCTGCGTCTGTTCTCAGTGCTTCTGGCGGGATTTCATCTGGTCTTGCTGCTTTCCCAAATTTCAGTAGCTTTATGGCACTTAGGACTTCAACTTTCATTGGAGGGTTTGTGTTCACTTGTGGTTCCATGTCTGCAGGTGGTATTTCTGGACGATGTGCATTCCATCTGCTTCCGCAGATTCCTAGCACTTCAATGCGATTCCTTCTCATCTCTTTTGCAACCTGGGTAGCCTTGCTAGGTTCAAACATGGTGCGGGCATTCCATGTCCCCACGTTTAATCTCGCTTTCATCGAGGGAGAGAAGACACATGGGCTGACTGGCTTCCCGAAGGCTTTCACCAACTGGCGTCATTTCGCCTCTCCGATTCCAGCGAGGAATAATATTGTTTTTATTTTTTATATTTTGTTTGTGCTTTGAAGTTTCTTCAGCGGTTGAATTGGTTTTACGGGGTAGGGTTGCTAGCCCTACTCGCAACCTTCCCTCTTTCCCCGGGCTTAGTACCGGCTAGTGACTAGTGAACTAGTTAACCAGGGGAGGTTATGTATCCTACTGTAGAAGAGTATTATTCACCCGACTATGTTTTCAATCCACTTCGATCCTTATAATCAGATTAAAATAATCTCACAACCTTCTTGCCTACTTTGTATCGTTCTACTGTCATCAATTGTGTAATTTAAAAACTTTTCCTACAAATTCAGAGTCAATTTTGCTTCCTTCTTGTTACACGTGTTAAAGTGTTGACTGGAGAAACAAAAACGATTCAGCTTTGAATCTCAAGTGAATCATCACTTTCGACGGGGTTGTACAAAACTAAAGTCCATAGCTTTCTGCCGATTACCTTCAACTATCTAACATCTATCGGATTGCATTGAGATGCTGAGTCACCTAGCTCAGTGGTTATATTTTAAAATGATGAAGAGAATTCGATGTCATCCAACTGCATGATGATATGTGCTAGAATGTATGGCTATGACTGACATCTTTCCTATGTTTAAGTAAGTTCTTATGTTCTCCTGATCAAATTAACCTCAGAGGGCCAGTGTGACTTATGTACTGATACCTTACACATTCCTATAAAGTTCAGGTCGAAAACCTTATCACTTAGTACTACAACATATTCCCGTAACCCACTGGTTTTTTCCAGACTAATTCCGCTCTTGTTAACATTGTACGACTCGGTCCATAGAGGCTTGTATGCACAGAACCATAATCAATGAAGCTTTTTAAGCATACGCCTACATACAGCATTGTTCATAAGATGATTACTGAAAACTCTGTTTTATGCTACGATGAGGATTTCTCAATCAATCCTCATCATGACCGATAGCTGATACCTTGACATGGTGGTCGGGCTTGCATACCACAATGGCCCAACGAGCTATGCTGGTGGAACTCTTATTCCCTCGAGGTCCTACCATACCAGAAAGGTCTGTTGGATAGTGGTTAGACGAAAAGCAGTTACCGTTGTGGTGTAAATTGCTACACTATGATGGGAGTCTGAGGGCGAAGTCTAATATAAACAGTCAGTTATTTGACACGTGTCATCATTTCGATTTAATTTCGTTTTATTGAACACAATCCAGGCTAAAATCTATTCGTGAAGAAATCACAATTTAGTAAGCAACTGTTCTGACAGATAATCGATACGATGCGGTGGTAACAACTTTAGCAAATGAATAAAATGAAGAATGAATCCATCAGCTCATTGACTTAATGTCGAATATCTACAATACCTGACCTCGCTCATTAAACTAGGTTTTATGGTCTATTCATCCTGGTTATAATGTGAGGTTTAGCAGGCGACTGAGCATTCTCAGCCAGATCAGGGATAGTGAAGTTGACATAGAGTTAAAAATATCACCACTCCCTACTCCGAAGAAACGATAATCAGCAGACATATGATGCTGATGATATCCAATAAGGTGTACAGAAGCAGAATGATGAGGCCATACCTGATTATTACTATAATTATTTGTCCCTTGGGTTCCTAATGGAACATAGGGCTTTGGAAGCAAGTCTCCAGTGCACTCTCTTCTCTACAATCTTTTCAACCTGGCTCCACCACTGCCCACAACCTCTCATTTCTTCCTCATAAGATCCCGTCCATGTCACCCATAGCTGTGACGCCCAACTAGTCGCTTCCCATCTGGGTTCCACTTGACAACCTGGCCTGGTACGTGATGTCCTCAGTCGGCCATCTCAGTGTATGCCCGATCCACTTCCACTTCCTTCCACTGCATATTTGTTCAGCGATAGGTTCTCCGTTGGTTCGTTCCCAGACCCAGTTCCTTCTTGCTTATTCTTATTGTTCTGACCATCTGTTCTCCATCTTCACTATCGAACCAGTGTAGACAGCTGTTCATGAATATCTGTAGTTTGTTGGAAATCCCTTTCGTAACGCGCCACCAAGTCTCTCAACCATACAGAAGCACTGACTTCACGTTGGTATTGAAAATCCGGATGTTGTTCACACTTTATGCTGAGTGCAGTACAGAAGATTTCCACACTGGTTTCAGGTTAGTGAATGTCTGTCTTGCTATCTTCCCGATCCTGACTGGCCTTGACATCCTTGTCTGTATGTGTGCCGCCCCTGTAGTTGAAACGATGCTGCCTAGGATGGTGGATGAAAGAGACTACTTCCTTCAAGTTTCTTCCGTTGATGGTGATTGGATCTTGTTGTTATTGTTGTTGATGGTTGCGTATCCTCATCACCTGTCTTTTCTACTTTCACTTTTAGTCGCGTCTTCGCTGCCTCACGTCTTCTGTCAACTTGCTGGATTTCGCGTGTAGATCTTCAAGTTTGTGTGACATTAGACATAAGTCATCGGCCATACCTGAAGAACTTTACTATTGCCTACCCTCATCAATTAAGTATTTTGGGTAACGACTAGGGATTATATTACACTGTCCACCAGTACATCACTTCCAGATGGATTTCTACAAGTTCTGAAAAGAAGTAGTGGCCTGTGGAGTCGACTATATCCGATTATTTCACCAATATACACAGGTATGAAGATGTGAACGATTACTTTCCAAAATAGTAATACACTAGTCATAAGACCTGAGGTTTCTTGGTCCAGTCCTTCATCAAGTCCCAAGTGTGTGTCTCAAAATGGAATGGAATAACTTTTGAAGGATGCCTCCAATTCTAACTAATATCAATCTATGATAATAGCTACTTTCTGTTTCACAGATAGAGCATAAAATCAATGCTTATTAATTTTCATCAACTACCTTCGAATAAAAACAAACTCATATAATTTTATCATTACTAAGATTTTCAAATTTATTCATCATGAAATGACATCAGTTGGGAAACCATTGATAATATGAGAGAACTGGATAGTCGTTTCGTCTGAGTACGGAACTATTCACTAACTCTCCAGGGGTCGAACCCAGAACCTTTAGGTTCCGTAACGAGCACATCAACCATCTAACCACTAGGTCAGTGTTTCATGGTACACGCTTTTCTGTTTCTGTCAATTCATAATAAGTGTAACAACAATTGAAAAAAATGGTTGAAAAATAACTTACGTTTGAATCTGATGTCGTAAACTCTCCAAGTCGTATGTTGTATATGGTCTTATTGATTTATTCATAGGAAATCCTCTATTATCCGTTGAATAAGTACTTAAATACCTAAACAAAAGAAGAAAAACAATAAAACAACACTTTTAATTTCGCCTCATTAAACTAAATCGAATTATTGTACCTTAGTTGATAGAAGGGCTGTTTTACGGATGCCTGGATGCTGGCTATAAATTCATTAGAGCTACTGGGGAAATCCAGGATATGCATTTCAGGTGGAAATACCTTGCATCCCATTGAGACTCGAAGTCAATATCTATCATGTATTGATTGGTCACGGGAGTGTAACCAATTTCATGTTGTCTAGTCCTGAGTGCAGACCGAATTCTATCGATCATATTTGCATGTAAGCCAGTCCTACAAGAGGTCAACCGTGGCCCAAATAGCTCAGTGGTAAAGTCGCTGACTATAACACTGGGTGACGCGGGTTAGGATTTTAAGCAGGACATCAGTTCCGTTGAGGTTGCAAATACGCCTTGCAGACGAGTGCCAAAAAGCACGGGACCTAGGTGAAGCAGGGCTTCCTGCCGATTTAATCAAACCAACTTACAGCAGAATCTGTTACTTCAATCTCTAAAGTATTATCCATTACGCCACTGAGGTAGGAGAGTCATTCCTCATCCAATAGGTATCAGTTGTTATTTATTGATACTCGTAATCTCCTGTTCTTTTGTTGGATAGAATTGTTCGACTTTTGTTGGTAAATGAGCTTCTGTGTAAAAACCTCGAGGCACAGAGTGAACATTTCGACATATTAGATTTCTTAGTGGCGCAATGTGTATTCTGATATACATTAATGAAAGCACTGAAGGATAATTTCTCAAAAAAAATTCATCTCTATTGGTTGCCCAGGTTGTCGAAAACAGAAGAAGCGGTAAAATGATCCTTAAGGCTTATTACCTAGACAAAGTATCCAGCAAAATACAATGATGTGTATGCAAACAGTGACCTTGGCTAGTTCTAGGTCAATCTGGTAGTGTCTTTCTTATTGGCCTTATCTTCTTAACCAATCGGACATTAATACCAACGATCATGTGACTTCTCACAAAAATACAGACTGCATTGATTGGTTGTGACTGTAGCATAGTAAATAATAATACCGTATTATTTACTGGCTGATATACCGGACACAATTTATCACTCATAACCATATGAGGCATTTATGTAGAATATATTAGGGGTTTATGCTATGATTTAGAAAATGCTATATGCTATGACCGCTTCTACAATGCACGGATACCGAGTGTCAACGACCAACGTTCAATAAATTCCTAGTTCATCCCCGACCCAACTAATTAAGTGGAGGAGAGACACGGTGGACGTGTGAAAATGTTTGTTGCGGTCGAAGGACCGAAGACCAAAATAAATAATAATATAAAGATATTTCTCTGTTTAAAATAACGCTATTGATTGGCTGCTGATCCATCGTCTGTCTATCTATGTAACTGTAGTGGTGATAACATAAGATACATTTTGATTGGTCGCTGTCTAGACTGGGTTTTTCTCTTTCAATCCCCATATGATCTGCCTCTTAGGATCAGACTGGACCGTACCGTCCTTACCCTTCACCTGTCTGACGGACGCAGAGGGAGTTCCACTTTGTTTACTGAAAGATCAGTAGTCTTCTCAATATTCTTTCGGTGGGCAGGTGTATGAGCAAAAAAATCACCTGTCAAGCCAAGAGAGAATGGGATCTGTGGTGGTATCTGCAGGATGACCTTTCTACACGTCATTGTGTGTGTTGGCTGAAAAACCGTCCTTATGGACCCCAGCATTTCAGTCCTGGCATCATTGTTGTTTATGTGGACAAGATTTGACGAAATGCCATGCATCACAATGCCAACAGGGCGGTGGGAATATCTTCATTGAGGGTCGCTTGGTACGGCATGAGTTACTGGCTCGATTTACAGGAACGAGAAGGCTAGAGGGTGATGAGGAATAATGAGATCTCTGGTGAACGGGATGTACTTCAGCACCACTCTGACGTTCAGATTGGGATAAACTCGTATCATACTGCAGGTTGCCCAGTTGTTGATATTCTGCAAACATATCATTCAGTGTCTGAACAGGGGCAACGAAAGGACGGTCACGTGGGTTCTATAGCGAAATTATGTTACAGTATTGATCAACCTCGCCTGGATCAAGCTTTTCAAGTAGATGTACTTTCAAAGAATCATCTTGGCCATGAAAATTTCATGTAATCAACGATTTCTCCACACTGACTTCTAAAGTATCAGAGTACTACAAATTTTATATTACCACTTAGGGAATCCACCTCTGACCTTGTCAGTCTGAGAATGTTACATTAGTTGGTGAAAATGATAGTAACCCTTCCAGTATCCAAAAGATAACATCTGAAGCAAGCCTTCATGAAATTATTTTTGATGAGAACTTTGAAGTAAAGTCTGAGAGTTTGTAACATCAGTGAGATTCTGAAGGAGGTCACATGAAATAATTTCTCTGAGTAGAATTGGATTAGCATATCAAAGACGATTTATGTTTATAAGAGTAGGTGGATATCAGGATCGTTTGCTAACAGACAATATATCCATTAGCCATTAATAAAACTGGAAAACCCCAGAATTCATCTAAAGTTGATCAAATGAATCATTGTATACATCAGTAACTGTGACTTTTAATTAAGTGCAACTTGAACAAGAATATTCTGAAGAAATGGAAGACGTCTGAAGACCTCAAAAAGCGAATCTAGGTCAGTCACGAAGAATTCATAAATTGAAGAAGTTATGCAATTGTTGAAGATGCCCAGGTATTTACCGAAGTTCAACTGAAGGTAGAGTGTCAAGGTTATCGAGTTGACTTAATCATTTCTATGTTACAAAATCATGGTCACGAATGAGAGCACTCAGTTAGGTAGATTGACCTTTCGGGATTGTTGTGCAATCAACGCCGTACAATACTGGAGTTCAATATGCAGTGTCCTATTCTGAAGTAGAAAACAGAAGGTTCATGATATGATTTTCTTCAAAGTTCCAACAAATTGTTTTTATTATTACTTACTCTTGTGGATGTATAAGGATAATTTTTCACAATCCAGCTAATGGTTAACAGAAAATCAAAAGACAATCTTGTATCATTCATCTCTCTTCTAGACAGGAAGTCTTATAGTGTGTAATAAGATTATCTTGATCCTAGTAAAAAGCTCTAAATCTTTGAAGCCTCTGACAACCGCTTCTAGTAAACTATAATGACGACCAATCAATTTTAAGTATGAGCTGACCAATCAGAATACAGGATATGAAGAACACCTTCAGTGCTGAAAAATGTGGAATTTTATTTATCAGCCGTCAATCTTTTTCACATGAAAAATAAAAATATCTTGATTTTCAGTAGGTTTATCATCTTTGAAACCATACCACTGTCTGTATTTCCACTCTTTCATGTATAAGACCTCGTGATTCAGTTAAACGTCCTACAAAGTGTCTAAGGTGACACAAAGTATTTTCAAATTTGTTTGTGTGGACTATAATTGTCAGATCAAGCAAGTGTCAAGATCTATGTGAGTAACTTACCCAATACTGTTTGAGTTGTCCTCCTCGGTTATGTTTCAACTTCCAAAAGAGACATTCATCCATTTCAAATATATAACCTACTCCACGAAACTTCACATCCAATCTACATATTGTTTCGCAGCAAATATTGCAGCAGTGCTGGTACCATTGTACTGAAGTAGTTCCAACGACATTTCTTAAAGTTCCTGTTGATGTTATAGGTGATTTTACAACTCGATGTAGTACTAAAATAATTGCCTTTTAAAGAGTTAGATAAGGTCTTTTGATAAACTATCCTGTTCTCAAGGCTTCCTTTTTGTAATAAGTAAGACAGTGAAAGAGGGAGCCATCTCTTTTTTGAATGAAGCATTTGATTCATAATTTAGGCTTCTCGTAAACAATCCAACTCTGAATAAATAACTGACCTAGTGTTTGGCATAGTTCATCAACAGTTTATGTAAAGTCAATTGAATGATAAATGGACGTAAAAAGAATAATCTTGAAACACAAGATCTGCAACCTGATTGGTCATCCATAAGGTTTCTCGTCATTTAAATCTAGTTTAACTTTACAACCAATCATTTTGCTTCGAAGTGTCGATGAACAACACGTGATCATACATATAAATATCAGGTTGGTTGAAGAGACAAAAGTAATAAGAAATGTTCTGCTACAAAGTCCTTGAAGTAACCAAGATAACTGCCAACATATAAGAACCACTGCATTTTGTCTATAATTTAATACTGCAATACTCTTGTTATCTTATCGCCTTTTCTATTCACCAAGGAGTCGGGAGACCATCACTGGTGGAATCTTGAGGTTATTACCCAAGTTTACTTATATATATATATCCAAATCAACCTAGGACCAGACATTACTGCTTAACGGTTCGAGTTGCCACACCTCATTTCACTACATCAAGTAGAAAGACAGTGAGGTGAAAGATGAAGATAAGCAAATTCAGTCAAGAGAAATACAGAGTACAAGAAGAGAGGAAGGAAGAATGAATAAATGGTGATATCCAGTACAGCGTTAAGATGAGGATACTGTGTATATACATGTGCACCACTGACATCGGTTTTGAGCCACACCCTTAAAGTCTCCAACCACTGGTTACTCTTGTCTCGCTGACCCCAACCACCTAGTCTATATAGCCCTACATGGCTCAAACAAACAGTCAGAGACTTCATACATTGGTACCATGTTTCAGTCTGGTCACCTCGGAACGTCTTCCAACCTGAACCTACTTTGACCAACATTGAGTGACAAGGCAATCGGTGACTTGACATACTTAACACGTGTCCCAACCATGTCAATCGATGAAGTTTCACAACCATGTCAACTGATTTACCTCTCCTCCCTAAAACTCTACACCTGAGCCTGACTTCTGCATTACTCACTTAGTGACACCATGTAATATGGCAGTCTATACTGCGAAGGCAACGGTGGTCAAACACCTGAAGCCTTCTTATATCTTCCACTTTCAATAGCCATGTTTCACAGGCATAGAGTAGAAGAGAGCGAACTGCTGTGTATTACACTCAACCCTTAGTAGACAAACGGATATCACGGTGGCGCCACGGGAAGCGTAAGTCAATCAAACCTTTTGTATCCGTGCAGAGATTTCATCGGCCATTGGGCCGGTACTTTCAGTTAATATTCCTTGAAATTATGATCAATGGAATTGCATTTTATTTTTCATTTCAACTTACTCTTGACTAACAGCTACTTCTAATGGACGATCACATGATATACAATGATAATGTTGCATAAGACTACGTCGTAAACCAGCAGCATCATCTATTATTGGTCCAGTTGGTAGTAAATTATCTGTTGTAAGTGAACTTAAACGTTTATTCAATGTTTTAAAGCGTTTCTCTAGCCAATCTCTTAATTGTTCAATTTCATCACGATCCAGTTTATTATCCATTGCTTCTTGAAGATTACTTAATAATTCTTTGTATTCCTCTTCCTACAATCCATAAGAATAAGGAAAAATTACAGTGAAATCAATTAAACAGGCATATAAGAAGTTCTTCTAGTTACCTTTTTACGTATATATCATCATTCGACAAGATTTTCATGCTTCCAAATTAACTGGAATTATATCTTCAATCAAAAATCAAATTTTTCCACTTATTCTTTCATATGTATGGATTCATTTTAAACTCTTCAATTGGATGAATAATACTGAGTAGATTTCAACTAGGCATTTGTGTATCAATAATCGATTAAAAACGATTATTGCCTAATTTTTTCGATAAATATCAATTATTAGTATTATCCTAGTTGTGATAAATAGTGACTATTTAAACGGATATGTGATACAATCATGTTTACTGTCTAATCAATTCATGAATAATGCTTTAATGTAAAACGATATTTCTATTGGTTAATGCAAGTCTATGCTACTATGACTAATACTGTGATCCTTTTGGTTATCATTTAAATTCTAGTTAGTCTATGCTACCTCAACTTCATCGACTTTGAAAAGGCATTTGACAGCGTCAACCAACAAGTAACTTGACAGGCAGCTGCTTCAACACTACACAATACCACAAACCTTGATCAATCTCATTCAACAACTGTATGAAGATGCCACATGCCAAGTTATTCACAATGGAAAGCTCAGTGATACCTTTGAAGATGGGACAGGAGTAAGACAAGGCTGTCTACTATCACCCATGATCTTCCTGATTGTGGTCGACTGGACTGGATCATGCAACAGACACCTGTGAGGAGCAAGAAGAGGGGAATGCGCATGGCCGGAGGAAATATCCTAGAAGATTTAGATTTCGCCGATGATGATTTTTGTCTAATGTCACACAAACTTGAAGACCTACTGGCGAAAACTAACAAGTTGACAGAAGAGGCAGCAAAGACGCGACTAAAAGTGAAAGTAGAAAAGACAGGTGATGAGGATACGCAACCAACAACAACAATAACAACAAGATCCAATCACCATCAACGGAAGAAACTTGAAGGAAGTAGTCTCTTTCATCCACCATCCTAGGCAGCATCGTTTCAACTACAGGGGGCGGCACACATACAGACAAGGATGTCAAGGCCAGTCAGGATCGGAAGATAGCAAGACAGACATTCACTAACCTGAAACCAGTGTGGAAATCTTCTGCACTACACTCAGCATAAAGTGTGAACAACATCCGGATTTTCAATACCAACGTGAAGTCAGTGCTTCTGTATGGTTGAGAGACTTGGTGGCGCGTTACGAAAGGGATTTCCAACAAACTACTGATATTCATGAACAGCTGTCTACACTGGTTCGATAGTGAAGATGGAGATCAGATGGTCAGAACAATAAGAATAAGCAAGAAGGAACTGGGTCTGGGAACGAACCAACGGAGAACCTATCGCTGAACAAATATGCAGTGGAAGGAAGTGGAAGTGGATCGGGCATACACTGAGAGGTTGTGGGCAGTGGTGGAGCCAGGTTGAAATGATCGTAGAGAAGAGGGTGGAATGGAAACGTGTCAGTGAAGCCCTTCTTTCCATTAGGAACCCAAGGGGTAAATAATAATAATAGTGTGACCATAAGTATGTAATATTGCGTGGTTGAGCCTGAATAAACTGTTTAATGAGACTGCTTTTTGAAGACTGCTAGAAGTATAAGTATAACAATAACACTCCTTAGTGTTTGATCCCATAGCTTGTGAATATCTTTCGTTGATTGGATCGAATTAATCGGGTACTATTGGGATAAGGATGGATGCCTTGCTATTGTCAGTATTTTCAACGACGGAGATTCACGGTGTATGACACCAAAGACTATATTATATCCATCGTACAACGAGTGGGTGTCATAATTCAGTGGCGTTTGAGGTGATTGGTTCTGGGGAAACAACATTACTTATTGGGAGGCAGATGTATCCAACTGACGAGTCTCAAAATAGGACAAAACTTGCGTCCTGGATTTTATTGCTGGCTATTACTCATCAACAATTGAAATCCTTATTCTATGCACCATAAATGAATCGTAAGTGCGAGCATTTAATTCACAATTCAACTCTAGAAGCGGTATATCAGTTGTTTAACCAAATCAGTAGAACACTGATAGGTGTGAAACCTAAAATCCATTGATTTTCAGGTCGACTACAACTCATCATCAGTTAAGTGATCAATTATCAAAATGATTTACAGGTTACACGCTTCATTTTGACACTTTTCTCAGCTGAGGAGGTTTTCAACTACTCATCTGTAATATATATCAAACGTCTTTCCACTGGAAACCAGCATTCAACAAATTTGATCTCTGATATAAAGATATCATGAATTAACAATCTGAATAGTTAGAAAGCAGTCAAACTGATTTGTAGATTTCGCTAGCCAAATCAAAATGATCTAAAAAAAATAATCACCAGATGGTTGTTACACTCACTTGGGGAGTGAACTCATCACCGGTCGACCTGGAAAAATTCAGCTAACTGAACAATATGAAAATAATTTACAAGTTGACCATTCTGTTTAGCACATAATAGTTTATTCAAATTATAGAGAAGAGATAGATAATTCAGCGAAGAAACATTCTGGCTTTCCTATGATATCATTTTCTAAAGCTGTACAATCTTATTCATGTATATATCATAAACATATAACAGTCTATTACAAAACAATACGGGACAATTACATCATTAACCTAGTGCTAAAAACAACCGGGATCAATAATGCAAAGTAGTTGCGTAATAAATGAAGACAGTAGAAATATCGAGGAAGGCAAGGAGTTTGTCAAGGTGAAAATTGTTGGTAGATAAGAAACGCAAATATTGAGTGTCCACTTGATAGATGGACAACAAGGTGCAGAATGAGACAAAGATCATAATGAAGGTAATAATAATAAATTAACTAATGATAATGAAATTGAGGTATTGTGAAAGTGTTAAGACCATGGTAAGATGAGAGATTGAACATACTTCTTTTTTGCCCGCAGAGATCGGGGTTGAATTGATGAATTGTCAGTGCCTCCGGTGTGCACAACTGTCGAAGGTGTACTCCTCTTGAACTATTCTATCTGACACGATAAATGACATTGAAGGAAGATTCTCGTCTACCTTTATGTTCAGAGTTGACCAAATGTTGAAGAATTGAACTGTTAATTGATTTACATTCTCCCCTCGACAACCATGTAGGATAGTGCTCCGAGATATGTTTGGAAAGCGTTCGCTTTGTGCGGCCTATATGACTAGCTCCACAGGAGCAAGTAAATTTGTAGACACACATCGAGGTGGCCCAAAGTGGAAACTTGTCCTTAACGCACTCTGGAGTGAGTTGTTGACTAGAGAAGCTGATCTACAGTTTCGCAGAGAAGAATGTCTTCTTCAGTGATCTGGACAGCCGATTCTTCAGGATCTCTGCTGCCGTATCGCCTTTGAAAACAACGTTCATAAACGAGGTCTTCTTAGGAATTGTGAGTACTCGCTCCGTATTCTGATTTACTTTCAAGTTCTTATCGATAAATCTGGATGGATATCCATTTTGCATGAGGATCTTCCGTGGTTTATCTAATTCTTCATCAATGGTATCACTGGTGCAGATTCTTTTGATTCTTGAAGATAAAGAATGGATTGGATTCCTCTTTCTGCTGAGATGCATCCAGCTGTGGAAACCCAAATATTGTCTGTTCCAAGTAGGCTTCCTATAAATTGATCAGTGAAGGGAACCATCTGGTCTCCGTTTCAATAAAACATCGAGAAAATGGAATTCCGAGTTCTCTTCAAATTCTGATGTGAAGCTGATCGGTGGGTGACAATCATTAAACGTTTCAACCACAGTTTGAATATCTGTATTTTGGTCGATTATGATGAATGTGTCATCCATATATCTTTCATACAGGCAGAAACTATCAATTGTTGAATGTAGCACACTATTCTCTAGCTTCGTCATAAAGTAATCAGCTAGCAACGGTCCAAGTGGTGACCCCATAGCAACCCCATCCTTTTATCTAAATAGATCATTGTTGAATTTGAACTGCACATTGAAAGTACATCTTAGAAGCAATTCCTTTATTCAAATTAGCCGCATAGTCTGGGCTTGTCCGCAATGAGCCCAGCTGTAAATGAGCATACCGACCATCAGGTGTTTAGATTACTCTTTTCTGGTCAACAGAATTTGCAGATCGCACTGAGAAGTTAATAACTACCTATATTGTTTAGTAGTATATTCCCTTTTCGCCTTCAGTCATCACACTTTGTGATCCTTACCCACATAGATCAGTGTATCAACTAAGTCTTTAGGAAGTAGTTTAGTAAATTATGAGATGAAGATAAGAAATTAATCTTGAATTAAAATATCTACTCCTGACTTTAAAGTCCACTGAAGCAACAATCAAAATGACCAATCAGGCTTCTCTATTTCTGTTGGAAAGGCAAATTTCCATAAAATATAGAGGTCTAATTGGTTATTTAAGCTGTTGCTAGGGTGGCCTGTAAAGTCACCCAATATCTGCCAGTGACCTATGAAACAGTTTAGAGGATTTAACCCTGATGAAAGCTCTTTACAATTTTGTAACAACTTATTTTACTGTTTTGATGATATGGAGATGCAGAGAAAAGATTGGAGAGGGACCAATCAAAATGTACCTTATGTTGTCACGTCAAGGTTAGATAGACAGACAGACGATGAATCAGCCAATCAACACTTGACTAAAAGCCTTTCATTGGTTACACAGATGGGCCAATCATTTAGCCAGTTCAATCGGCTAACGTCAAATATAAATTAGAATTTGTGAAGACATGATGTTATCGAGATTTATCCAGGTACCAGGGTAAGGAGAAGTCGATCACAATTTGTGTTCTTATACAAAGGTAAAGTGTAAAATGCCTGACCACAAAGACTTCAGCAAAGCGTAGTAAACTTTGCAATTTTTTAATATTTATCACCCTGAAGGCCTTAAGCCTTTCCACGAGTGTCTGATTATCACACTTGTAAACCATTTGGTTTTTTTCCAAAAGTAAATCTCTCGGTAACTTTGAAAATGATTTACAAAATCTGCTGTTCACTTTGATAACTTAAACACAACTCCCTCGAAATTCAATTGAACTGTAGCTCATTGGTGAATAGCTTCGAGAGGTATTCCCGAAGTTCAAATGGGAAGTCGTGACCGGTGGGGGCAAGGCCTGATTGTCGTGAGGACAGTTACTCAGCAATGGAATTAGGTGGCGGTTGCGCTATGTCGTGAGCTAACAGAAGTTGGAAATATTGACCATTGGATTCTGACCCACTGGCCCAATGGTAACGTGCTGGCCACGGAACCTCAAGGTCATGGGTTCGGTCTCTGGCCGGGTCGTGGGTGCGGATTGCTGAGGAGAACTATACTAGGACGAGACAGCTGTCCAGTGCTTCCAGGTTTCCTTTGCTCCTCCAACTGAAATCAGTCTACGATAAATAACAACTTGAAATATTTCCAAATCCCCACAACTCCCTCAAAATTCAACTATACAGTTGAGTAGTTTTCCGACTGCCCGATTGTGGTATCAACAAGATTTCCCCCTGGAAAACACGCTGCTCAGATCACAAGTTGTTATCTTTCACACAAAAGTGTTGGAGTACTCAGCCTAAAATGAGCGAAATGGCCGTCCGTTGTTCAGTCCACCTTCCTAATCCATATAAGAGTGTTAAAGTACGCTGTGCTGAATTACAGCAACCCGGTAGAGTTTGTTTTTATATCAGTTGTACTCTGGAGGTAGATAACTATCAACACGGGAACTGGCACTACTGTATATTGTTCCAAGTTGTGATGCCTTCAATTAGCACGTCAATCGAAAATGCATCAAGATAAAAAATAGAGAAAAAAATGGTAGAAAGTCGTGAACACAATTTGTGAAGACGGAGTTGCAAACATGCATAATGAACTAGGATAAGCTGATTAAGGTAAAGATAATGTAAGGATGTGTCTACACCACTGAGAGAGATGAATAGGCATATGTAAAACATGTTCCCGAAGGCTCTACGTTCAAGTGAACGTAGAGAATAAACAGGTGATGAAGATACCAAACCAATGACACCACCAACAACAACAAGATCCAATCACCATCAACAGGAGAAACTTAAAAGGAAGTAGCCTCTTTTACCCACCACCCTACGCAGCACTATTTCAACTAAAGGTGGCACAAACAAGGATGTCAAAGCCAGTCAGGATTGGAAAGACAGCAAGACAGGCTCCCATTAACCTGAAACCAGTGTGGAGATCTTCTGCACCACAGTGCACTCCACTGCACTTCACTGCACTCAGCATAAAGTGTGAACAACATCCGGATTTTCAACACCAATTCACTCAAGTCAGTCAGTGCTTCTATGTGATGGTTGAGAGACTTGGGGCGCGTTACGAAAGGGATTTCCAACAAACTACAGACACATATCATCAACAAGTGCCTACTTTGGCTCGATACTGAAAATCTATCAGATGGCCAGAATAATAAGAATGTGCAAGAAGGAACTCTGGCTGGCTGGCAACGAACCAACGAAGCAAGAACGTATCGCTCAACGAACGAGCAGTGGAAGAAAGTGGAGATGGCTTGGATTGAGCATACACAGAGAAAGGCATTTGGGGACATTACGCTCCAGTTCAGGCATTAGAGTGGAATCCCAAGGGGCGACGACGAGTTGGGTGTCCGAGGCGAGGATGATATGGAGGAGATGGTGTGATGAAAAAATGAGAGCTTGTGGGCAGTGGTGCAGCCAGGTTGAAAAGATTGTAGAGAAGAGAGTGAAATGGAGACGTGCTACTGAAGCCCTATTTTCCACTAGGAACCCAAGGGACAAATAATATAATAATAATAAAACATGTTCCAGCCATCTGAGTCAATAACAGCTTACAACTTCTTTTATCAAAAGCACCATGTCTGACTTGTTCATAAGCGAAATGGTCGTTCGATGACATGTCGACTTGGCTACAATGACAAGTATGGTCAAACACTTGAAGCCTCTTCATATCTTCTACCTTCAGTGGCCATGTTTCAAAGGTAAATAGAAAAATTAAAGTATTCTGCAGTTATTAGTTATAAGTTTAACAAAATCAGTCAACAGCAATCCCGAAGCGACTCATCCTCCATTCAATAAAGTGTGATGGACTCAGGATTCGATTGTTATCTCACGAAGGTAAAGCTACAGGTTTAACCTACTTCAAGGTCAAGAATAAACATTGGTAACGATATATTGAAGTCGCCGACTACAACACTGAGTGACGCAGGTTCGAATCTCAGACGAGATATCAGTTCCGTTGAGGTTGCAGATACGCTTTGCTGACGAGTGCCAAAATGCTCAAAACCTAGGTGAAGCAGGGTTTCCTACCGATTGGTAACAAGTCTTAAATTAAGTGAAGGTCATTTCTTTAGCAACAAGCCTTCGTTAACCACAGCGTTAAGAATGTATCCTCAATTACCTGGCAACTAATCAATACATAGTTCTCACTCTTAAAAAATCCCTCAAAGACAACTTTGAGAATCGAAGAGGCGTATTTATTATAATTTAATAAACTAATTTGTTTATGCTCAATTTCGATAGATATTTTCCACGTGGGGACAGCGGGGGTGGAGGTGGAGGTAAGGTAAGCAACTTTACTCCCTTAAACACGCAAGGAGGAGGAGAAGAAGAAGAAGCCTTATCTCTTTTTGTAAAAAACCGGAAATTAGTTTCGACATGGGATATTTTCTGTGTCCACCTTGAGGTTTTCGTCACGTTTATTACTTTTTTCTTTAAAACAGACAAACATAACACCAATTTGAGATCAATTGTTTTTTTAACCACCTTCCTTAGTTGACTGTTTAATTGACATAACATTTCTGTCATTTGGTAGCTACAGAAATTTTGAAGAATATTTGTAGCTCATTGTGTCATGATTTTGGGACTTGGTTGGTAAACATTCGAAAGTCACGTTGGACATTATTATCATTACATCAGGACTTCTGAAGAAAAGGACGCCAGATAAAATAATTCGGCATGTAAAATAATTTCTTGTTGTTCAGTCAAACAATGATTCGAGATGATTACCGTAGAGACTTTAGTCACCGGAATTATTGACATTTCTTGTTAATAGCGTGAGCAGTAGTAGTGTGAGTAGTAGTAGTAGTAGTAGTAGTAGTAGTAGTAGTAGTAGTAGTAGTAGTAGTAGTAGTAGTTGATGATTACGTAGCCTTTGAATACTGCTCTTGAGCCTCAGTGCGAAAACCAACACAGTTGCCAGTAAGACCTCGACTCTTAAGAGTGATACGAACCTGACGCGTAAATGAATCCACTCTGTCGCAAATCAGAACGTCAACCATCACCACAACAATACCGGCGACGCGTGAAGACTAGAAGACAAAACAAACCGCTGACAGAGAGCTGTTTACTGTCTGAAAAGCAGTCCATACAGCTGACAGCGATGCTATATATATATATATATTTCTAAATGACCTTGACAACACTAAATCCACGTGTAGATAAATATAACTAGCGACCAATGAAAGTTCAGCCTTGAGAGGAGAGGGAAGAAAAACTAGTAATGATGTGTAAACAGCCATGTAGGTTATTTTGAGGTCATAGGCAAAATAGCAGGCAAAAGCTATGCAAAATTAGGGGTATATAACAACTTGTTAGCCGTCTTAAATCTTATTCTCAGTAATCGTAAGGCTTAATTTTGAACTGTCTGTCAACCAGCTGTCACACAGCACTGAAAGCTATAGGCTGAAGATATGCAGATATGCTTAATTTTATCATTGTTATAGACTATAATCTGTTGAGGAATTTTTGATGCTTATTAGTTTGCAATGGAGTTCAGGAGGCATTTTCACAACCTATGACATCAAGATTATGCCATACCCTTAGCACAAGGAGTGGTTGTTGTAACTCTGTGACACTGTGGATAACTTGGTTGAAGCAATTCACTCCACAGCTTCAAATCTTGGTAGGAAAAATATCATTCACCCAACTGATGAGTTCCATGTAGGACGAGACCCATATCCTAGATTCCACTGCTAACCTTTACTCATCAACGATAACGAAAGTTATCGATCACTTCCATCCAACCAACGATGAAGATTTACAAGCTATAACATAAAAAAGTAAACTTTTGTCCAGGACGTTCTTAGCCTAATTTGAATCGACTGTATACTACAAACTATTAATAAATGCAAAAATAAAGTTTTTCTTTGCATAAACAATAACTTTAAACGTCACTCTAGAAACTGAGGAAACGACCAATCACGTTTCTGTATTCTATGAAAAATAAAGCAATCTGATTGGTTGTTTCGGCTATTAAAGTTATCCTTGTATCAAAAACAAACATGAATCGAACTTACCGCCGCTGTTAACTTTGCGAATAAATCTTCAATAAGTTTTTGTAAAGTTTGATTAGTACTCTGAAATTCTGATCGATCAATCAAGTTTTTCACATCATCACAGTTAGCTTTCTATAAGAAACAAATAGTAGTTGAGTTATTCAACACTATAATCATCTCATAAATGACAAGTCACTGATAGTTATTGAACAAATGAAATATATTTTATTCCTAGCACGATGACTCATACCAAACACTCCAGCAATCCATACAGTAAATTTGTGCCCTTAGTAGTGATAGAAGCCTACCAATCAAGCCTGAGAAATGGTTAGTCAGAGTGCTACCCTTCTTTATCGACCACCAAATGACCTTGAACGAACCAATAAGAGAACAGTCGTTTCTTCTTTAACTTTCTAATAGAATTTGTGGGAAATTTAGAGAGGATATGATTTTAGACGATGTTAACCAACGTATTTATGCTTTCGACTACTTTTCTGCCTAATTTAGAAGTATCTACGATAAAGATGTACATCCAGGTGATTATGAACCGCCTGATCTGTAATATAGGTATGAATAAACCTTTGGAAGGTCCCCTATAGTTTCTAATTTATCTGTATCGTCCTCTACAAAAAGATTTATGCATTAGAACTTGAGAGTTAAAAAAGGCATCATGTTGATGACAGTGGTTGTAGTCACTGTTTGTTTACTACCTCATGACTTATTGAATACTACGAAGTTATATAGAATTAAATTGTAAGCTTCAGAGAATTAAAATGAGGGTGTCACCTAGGTTCTAGGTTCTACAACCAAATACTGGGGCATACTTCAATGGGACCCTATTGTTTCTAATTTGGTTCGAGGCGGTCACTTTGAAAATCCTTCAGAATTAAAAAATAGTGCGACACATTAAATTGCGAAACACCACAATTAAATAGAAATGATCATTGTTAAAATTGTGCGCAAACCTGTCTGTAATCAGCAAAATCCTTTTAATAATTTAAAGCTCCTCAGAATGATCATACAGTCACCACCAACCGGATTGATCGGTTCAGGGTCATTTGGTGGTTGCTCAAGGACAGCGAGGTTCCTAATAAACATAGTGACGTTACACTAAAATTTATTGTGATTTGATATCAGGTATTAAAAGCTGACCTTTTAAGTCAACCAGCTTGACATGATTGTTTGTCCTACCAGACTCGAACTAGTGTCAGTCAGTGCTGAGATTCCTTAGGTGACAACTGCCTCTTTATTGAACTGTTGTTGAATTCAAAACGGTGACTGCTAGACCTGAAGACAAAGTGGTGTGCAGCACCTTAAAAGCCCAGTACAAAAATATTGAGGCTTGTTGTCCAGGTGGTACTGACCGATCGTTCACAGAGAAAAGTCAATAACAACCAGCTAAGCAATTTACAAATAATGTACCTCAAGTTGTTATTCATCGTAGACTGACATCAGTTGGAGGAGCAAAGGAAACCTGGGAACACTGGACAGCTGTCTCATCCTAGTATGGGGCTCCTCAGAGGTGCGCACCCACGACCCCACCCCGCCAGGGATCGAACCCATGACCTTGAGGTCCCGTGGCCAACACGTTACCGTTGTGCTAGTGGGTCAGAACTCAATGGTCCATATTTCCAACTGATGTCAGTCTACGATGAATAATAACTTGAAATATTTCCAAATCCCCACAACTCCTTTAAAAATTCAAATAATGTACTGTCGAAATTAGAAGGTCACTCCACCAACAAGTCAAGTAACCAATTAACAAAGACTACTCCATACAGAAAGTGAGTCAGATAGTTTAAAGCAACCAATCAGAGTGAAGGCCAGATGTACAAAAAAGCAGATGCGAACATGACTCATAACCAACACAGAAAAATTATCAGTTGAATAGGAGTAAGTGATTGGATAATGGTGCAACTTTACATACACAGCCTACCAGTTAAGTGTGCACTTTAACTACGAAGCTAAGCAAATCATCACTACCGGAAAGTATGCACACTGCTGAGTGTTATAAGTCGATTGGTAGTTCATAATTGAATGAAAGAGGTTTACATCAATAAGAGAATATCAGTTCACATGCAATATGGATATAGTAGTGGGCGTTGCTGATCAGAGTAGATATAAGTAGTATATGTTAAGAGGATGGCAGAAATCACAGGCGAATACTATATATATATTCTGAGCAGACGAAAGTAAGAGACAATGTGGATGCATTAAGAGTCAATCATGGCAGAAGCAGAATAGGAAGGAAATGAAGCAGACTGTGCAAATAAATGTCTTAGTGGAAAGTGTACACGATTTCATCAGTACTGTATAAGATGTCAGTAATAAACATTCCTTTCTGCGTCTCAGTTTTGTCTTTTCCTACACTATCAACTTAGCGGGCAAATCATCATGCTGTACGTTCAGTGGATTTTAGTTCGTTGAAGGAAACCAGCAAGAAGCTTTGAATCTAGATTTGGTGGTTGTTTCCAGTTGTCAGTAGGATGTATTCATAACCTCTAAGGTACCGATATCTGGTTTGAGATTCATATTCGTGTCAACAGTGTTGTTGGCTACTCTTTAGTGACAAACCAGTGTATCTAATCGAGTTCTATACAGAGTCAATATTGACCTGCATAACTTGGTGGTAATATCTCGGAATGCAGTGACAAGTGAGATGCACATTTCAATCTGACAGATGGTATCGTTTCACCGAAATTTCACATGTGCCCTAATGATCAGTTCTAAGAAGCATGAAATATTTACACTGTTTTCCATTGAGAATACAATGATTGGTCTTCAAAGACAAGTAAGTGGTAGGGAGTAAAATGAATCACATTGATAACTACACGAAATAAGGTGAAAATCAGTGTGGAACACGAAAAAATTATAAATTTATACGCATCTCTAACCAATACTAACTTCACGATTGCTAATTGTGTAATTTTATACTTAAGATTTACAACGATATGTCACAAGATTCTTGTAAGTAGGACTGTTGGACTGGATATTCCATATTAGATTTGTTTATTTGATGCATAACACATAATGTTTTACTGCGAGTATTTGTCCCTTGGGTTCCTAGTGGAACATATAGCTTCAGTAGAACGTCTCCATTCAACTCTCCTCTGTACAATCTTTCCAAACCCCCTCCACGACAGCCTACAACCTCTCATTTCTTACTCACATCATCTCCTCCATGTCATTCTCGCCTCGGACGCTCAACTTACCATTTCCCATCTGCGTTCCACTCGACACCCTGGCCTAGTGTGTGATGTCCTCAAGCGGCCTTCTCAGTGTGTGCACAATATATCTCCACTTACTTCCACTGCATATTTGTTTACCGATAGCTTCTTGCTTCATTGGTTCGTTGCCAGCCAGCCAGCCAGCCAGCCAGCCAGCCAGCCAGCCAGCCAGCCAGCCAGCCAGCCAGCCAGCCAGCCAGCCAGCCAGCCAGCCAGCCAGCCAGCCAGCCAGCCAGCCAGCCAGCCAGCCAGCCAGCCAGCCAGCCAGCCAGCCAGCCAGCCAGCCAGCCAGCCAGCCAACCAGCCAGCCAGCCAGCCAGCCAGCCAGCCAGCCAGCCAACCAGACTTCCTCCTGGCCTATTATTATTATTCTGGCCATCTGATATTCAGTATCAAGCCAAAGTAGGCACTTGTTGATGATATGTGTCTGTAGTTTGTTGGAAATCCCTTTCCTAATGCGCCCCCAAGTCTCTCAACCATCACACAGAAGCACTGAATGACTTCACTGACATTAGTGTTGAAAATCCGGATGTTGTTCACACTTTATGCTGAGTGCAGTGAAGTGCAGTGGAGTGCACTGTGGTGCAGAAGATCTCCACACTGGTTTCGGGTTAATGGGAGCCTGTCTTGCTGTCTTTCCAATCCTGACTGGCTTTGACGTCGTCGTCTGTGTCTGTGGGGCCACCGACTGTAGTTGAAATAGTGCTGCCTAGTGTGGTGGTGAGTGAAGGAGACTACTTCCTTTTAAGTTTCTCCTGTTGATGGTGATTGGATCTTGTTGTTGTTGTTGGTGGTGGTGGTGTGCTACAGTATCATTCATTAGATGATATTTCAACCATAAATTATTACTTTTCATAATCATATCAATGTAATGACAACACTCCCAATATCTGAGTTTTATAGTCGTGTCACTTCAGATTATTTGTTTGTTTCTGCTGGTAGTAAAACTTTCCATATCTCTGTTATACATGTTGCATCGTTCCTATTCCCCATGTGTTAAGTATTGATTGATTGGACAAAGAAAGAGTCAGTGATCAATCTCTTTCTTTTTCCACATAATCATATTGTTTGACTTAAGTACAATGGTTTCATCCCACCCACTCTATTGTGTAGTTATGTGTTAATGCATCTATTTTACCTAAGATATGGTGGCGATATTTGGAAGACATATTAACTCAGTTGAAATCGGAACATGTCGACAATTACCTCATACATATAAACTCAGTAGTAGGTGCAATCTAATTCACTGATGAGGTAGAAGGAAGATGTACAAGGAGAATTACCGATGTTGGATTGCAGAATAAAGCCGGAAACCAAAACATTCCAACAGGTATCTCAACTTAAAGTCGTCTTATTCAGTGTCAATTAGGATAGGTCCTGTCAAATGTCTAAACGGCAGAGTTAGAAAACTGACTAGTCAGTGTAAGGACCTAAACAAGGAGTTGAAGAACATAAGAGAAGCGCTAACAGTTAAAAATTATCGTATACAAATTTATAAAGGAATTGGCACGTACACATAAGAAACGAAATAATAACACTAACACGAATAGAAAGGATTTCACAGCCTAAATTGTGTTATACTATAAGGAAGGTACATCAGAAACTTTACGTAGGATACTCAACGAAGCTGGAATTAGGGTGGCATTTAAACCTACAAACTCACTCACAGATAGGCTTTGTCGACTGGCTTAAAGATCCGATAGAACCAATTAAGCAAAGTAGTCTAATCTACCAGATGCCATGTAATGACTGTCAATGAGGTCAAGTAGAAAGTTGAAAGTAGCCGATCGGGGTCAGTTAGAATTGCGAAATATAGGAATTCAGCTAAATATAGAATGATTGACGCCAATGAGATGAGTAATGTGGAAAGACACTCGGTTATTGCAGTGCAATGCAGACAGTATG